ACCCCGGCCTGATGTTGGAATTGAACTCAGGACCTTCTTGCTGTTCGGCAACAGTGCTAACCACCGTGCCTGAATTGTAAGATTTATTTATTTATTCGTTCATATATTAAGAGCGCAAACAAACATCACCAGTTAGCCTGACCACCTGTTAAATCGCGCACACACTGTGAAGGACAGAAATATGTTCACCGTCAGCAGCGGAGCAAGTCAGCTGTTGCTGTATTCAACCAATCACAGACGAGTGATGCGGGGCGGGAATTTAAAGCCAGTCTCGCTTTCAGCGAGCAGGAGGCAGAAACTCAGACCTGACTCACTCAGTCCGTGCTCTACCTGCGATGTCTGTGTACAGCCCACTCTCTGCCTCGCTGTGGACTTTTATCCTGTGCTCGGCTTTCAGCGTGTGGACTTCGGTTAGAGGTAAACATTACTGACAGCTCACAGCTGTGTTTTCTTCTCTGTCGCTGTGAGGATGACAGTTTTCGGTGTGATTTGCGGCTTTCCCCCGTTAATATAGCAGGTTGACTGTGTGAGTGTGAACTTGTCAGACTGCTGTTTCTGTTAATGCAGCAGAATTTAAACAAAAAACAAAATTATGTTTAAAAATATAATAGAGCGTTTTTGTTTCTGACTAACATACAGGATGAAGTCTGTATTGTACTGAGCTGGTTTTCTATCATCATTGAGTGGAAACGACTTCATTTAGAGGGTGTATGAGGAGGATGTGAAGGGTGGAGTGAAAACAGTTAGATGATTAGGTTAGGTTTAAAGGTTTGGGTGGAGCACTGAAGGTTTTATCACTGCTCTGTTACAGGTTATCCGAGGCAGAGTCACTGAGCCTAGCATGAAGTAGAACAACACAGCTTTAGTGTACTAAAGTAAGAGAGCTCTGACTGTAAGTGAAACATGCTCTACAGTCTGGTTCAAGCTGAACAAGCTGATTTGATAATAAATCAAACGAGGAGCTTTGACTTTAATAACTCATCTTATAAGACTAACCAAACTAATCAGATACTCTGGTCATGATTCAGCAGCTAACAATGCCAAGTGTGAGTGACTCAGAGGAACTTCTGCTCTCTAATCTGATCCAAACATGCAGTTTTAACGGATGCAGGAAAGGCATCTGGTGTCAAAATCTGAGTCAGACCAAATATGTGGATCTTGGAAATAAGCAGCTGAGTGTAGTTTCTAGACTTCATGTGTCTGCAGATCACAGGCAATTATTGCTGAGCAGCATGTGAATGTAGGGTTCGTCATATAGTTACAGAAACACATCCTCCACATTATGAGTCATTGTGAAGAACTGACAGAAAGCAGATCTTCTGCTGTTTTGTTGGTTTGCTGTAAGACCACGTCCTGCTGATCCAGTTATCAACATGCTGCAGCTTCATTTCATGACCTTCTTAAACTCTGGGTAGTTCAAAGACTGTCACTGTGACACGAAGCAATGAAAAGAAGTCATGATGAATCCATCAGAAATCTGAATCTGATTAATTAGCACAAAATACTCCATGTCATTGCTTTCAGTGCCTTTTGCTTTCTTTGTCTCCCCTGATAAGCTGAACGTCTCTGAGTTGTGAACATTAGTAAACTGAGGCTCGTCTGCATTTCCTTTAAACAGATTATCAGGTTTATGTGTGTGTGCGCCTCAAAAATCTGACTTGTACCTAAAATGTTCAGTGTGACAAGAAATGTTTTATAGAAACTCATTTCTAGTCGTGAGGGTCTGTGGGAGTTCAAGGGGTTTAATTTTTTAATTTTCCATCTGTTTCCAGGTGAGGTTCTGGTGATTGGTTCAAATCTTCCAATCATCGCCGCTCCAGGTGATGATGTCATCCTGCCGTGTCACCTGGAGCCCATGTTTGATGTCCAGGGTCTGACGGTGGAGTGGTCCAAACCCGACCTGAAGCCCGACCCGTCAGATGAGTACGTTCACCTATACAGACATGGAAAGGAGGTCCCCGACATGAAGATGGCCTCGTACTTCAGGAGGACGGAGCTGTTCATGGACGACATGAAACACGGGAACATTTCACTGAAGATCCTGAACGTGTCGGAGGAAGACAACGGCAGATACAGATGTTTCATCCCCAAGCTGCAGAGCACAGTGAAAGCTGCTGTTGTTGAACTTGTAGTCAGTCAGAAGATTTGTTTTGTTGATGTTTGTGGTTCCAAACTCAAATTTTTATTAACAATTTATGACTCTTATGTTTTTTTGTGTCTTTTAGACCCAAACTACGGGAAAATCTCATCACCAGAGACACCACTGCATCCCAGAAACCTCCGAACTCCAGATCCTCAGGACACGACTCAGAGAAACAGTGAGAAAAAAAATCCAGATTTATCTCAGCATCATTTCTGTTTTGGTGACGTTTTCGGTCCATTTGTGGTGACCTTTTTTCACCTCAGCAGATCGGTCCAGGGCCGCTGTGCTGATCTCCATCATCATCACTGTTTCTTTACTTGTAGTCGCTGCACTTGCTGCTTATTTCTCTCGCCATCACACAAAAGGTACGTCAGAAACAAACACAAACTCAAACATGTTGTTGCTTCTTGTGCCCTCAGACTGACTCATTATTTAACTTCTTTTAACAGAAACATCGAGAGGATGAAGGGACCCAAAGCCAGCCATGACAGTCTAGATGTGTTGCTTAAAAGAGGCTGATGATAATAGTTCATGAAGCATTAAAATTTATCTTTACAGGATCTTCACAGCAGACTCTCCTGTCCCTTCCAGCTCATCATCCTCACCACCCCAGCCTTATACTCAAGCCTCTTGGCTTGACAGTCGCCCTCCTTTGCTTGAAGCTCTGGTTTGTCACCGGCCCCCCAGTCACCTGCCTTCTTCCTGCCACCACACTCCTAAGAGAGTTGGGCCCTCCATCGTTCATAATGCCTGAGGTGTGCTGGTGTCCAGTAGAGCCATTTGAGGGTCTCCAGTGCTAGCCTCCCAACCAGCCCTCACATCTTGGGGCAGAGACCTCTGTCACTGGCCCTGGATCTTGTCCCATTTTTGGCCAACTCTGTGAACTCTTCATTTATGTTTTGGACTTGTGTGCGCCCCCTTTGTCTTTTGTCCTTGTCTTTTTCCAACTCACACACTCACACTTCGATAACATTTTAATCAGTGGGAAAACTTTGGTAGGTAGAAAAGAAACTGACCTGAAACATTTGTACAAACATCACCAGGCTTTGATGGAACAAAAAGCACGATGTATGGAAACAGCCCTTAGATCTATACCTCATGCACTCTGGGTGTGAAGATGGCTCCTCATCCTCCTCTGTGTACTCTGAGCCTGACATGGAAAAGGCTTCAGAGGTAGAACCAGACCAACTGGAGTCCAACTCTGACGCATCTGAAGATGAGACTGGAATGGAGATAGATGAAGCAGCAGTGGGATGGACTTCTCCATCTCCATATTTTGGTATCCACAAAGAGTGTGACGTTGAACAACATCCAAGCAGCAGCAGGTTTAGTCCCAAGAACTACACACTTTGCCAAGAGTACTGCTGCTGATGTTTACCCCCCCCAACCACATCTCCACAGAGACTGTGTCAGCT